AACACCAAATCAAAATAAACAACGAAAGATCCCCCGAGATAAGGGATGCCTCCCACACCCAAAGGTGTGTAAACCTTGGGTGTCAACTGCATCAGTATGAAGGGGCAATTTCCCCTGGTGTAAGACCGAATATGGTCATGCCTATGATAAACAGTCGTGCATTGACAACGACCCTGCTACACCACTGCACAGGAAACTGCAAAGCTACCCTATGAACATGCCCACCCGGGCGGAAACTGACACAAACACAAACCAGCTAATTGAGGCGAATGTGCCTGAACTAATGTCGCGAATTTGCGGTTGTTAGTGCAGCATGACTCATGCTGTCGTGAATGATGTCCATCAAGCCTACTTAACTCAAGGCTGTTTGAAGAGCAGCGCGGGTCACATATTTTACAACTAAGTCATGCACAAGAGGATCAACACGTGTAGTGCGATACATCCTGTTGCATTTGAAAACTGGGAAAGAGTTCACATGTTGTGAGATGCAAACTAATGTCAATGCATGCACATGATCCTTATTTACAAGACATGAGGAATAGTGTACAACACGGCTATAGCGGTTTACGCCAAGCTTGACAAGAATATCGCGATTAGCAATCCAGGTATTCGGCTGTATGAAAATGCCTACGGAAAACTTCGTGTTCAGCGCGTGCTCAATTAAGTCGTCCTCCTCGCTCAAGGTAGCAGGGGCAGCCGCATAGGGCTTATGCCCGTAAAGACCTTTAATTACGGCCTTACACATCTCAATAGGATATCGCGCAGTCAAGGGCGTAAGGCTTCCCTCGATCCTGGCGTGGGGGTAGCCTATTTCGTGGCTACACGTGCGCCCTCGTAGCTCGTTGGCTAGTTCAGGGCAAGAAGTGGCGATCCGCCACTGCTTCCTGATGGGAACACCATCGGACGTTTGCATCCCAAAGTCGCAACCGTCAACATCGACACACCTGATGTCGGGATCGTCGATTAGACGCCTCATAAATGGCTGTTTCCAACCAAGGCAATGCCTCGGCCACTCGAATGCAATTCTACCTCCCTTAAAACGCACGCGTTTGGCGACACGAAGGAAGGCAGCAAACATGACCATCGACGTTCGTCTAGCTTCGTTAAGCTCTACTGCGAACTCGGGACCGTACTGGGACAAATTAACATACTGCCAAGTACTCCACGGTCCGCACGGGATCGAGCCCCATAAGTCACAACCAGGATTCTGATCGACTATCTCAATCAATCTAGTCATAGCCTTATTCTTTAAAATGTCGAACGACTCCTTGTGTACGCGAATCGCGTCACCCCCCGGTTCCAGCATTGTGGCGGAGAGCTTAGAGTCAGGTTCGCATGCAAATTCTATCAACAATCTCCGCTTTATCAAAGCGGGTCCAGCTGGTTTGGAGGGTGTGGCTTCGCCAGCACGCGCTCGTTTCAGAGCTTCCTCCCTTTCAGCCTCGATGTATATCCTTCGCATACCGACGGACATACCTTTCCAGTCAGTAGAAGAAATGGAGTTGGGTTTACCAGATCCAGAATAGGACCTCTCCTTTCTTTTCTCCTTCTGCTCGTAATCAAGCTCATCACCGTGTAGGGTGTGGGCCTTAGGCTCACCTGCATCGAGGTCTTTGACTTTGTCTAGCCTATCTTTAAACTTGGCAAGAGTGACCCTCGGAGCCCTAGAAGGAGCATGCCCTTTATCATACAGAATGGTCACGCCAGTCCAGAACTTTTGAGTTCTGACTCGATGTCCAGGGTTCAGGATTCTCCTGTCATCACGGATACACTGCTGCGTAGAGTCAATGTACTTCAGATGAGTTACTCGATAATCATCCACATCCGCTTGGGACGGGCCTCCAGGAGGCGGTGGAGATCTATCATCCCCGAAAAAGGCTTGCCTAGCATCGACATGGTGTCTGTGCCAGGATTTGGATTCTTCATCACGCACCCAGTGGTCCCTTTCAGGAACATCAGCAGGTGCTTCAGAGTCAACAGCAGGATCACTACTGTCATCGTTAGGATGATCAGTACCCGGACCAACGGCATCGAGCTTGTTGTCCGGTTGAGTGGGAGCATCCGCTTTGGGAAGACCCTTTCCTTCTCCAGTATCTAGGAGCTGGACCTCCCTAGTCAGACGCTCATAGGCGGCCAACATGGGAAAAACGTATCCCTCTTCGGGGATCCGCCAAATTCTTTTGACTTGATGAACACTGGGTCGGGAAAATCCGTTCCTAAAGTGTTCAAGATCGGCAACGTAGTAGTCGCCCTTCCACTGGCCACCGGGCTCTAATCTATAACCAAGGAAAATCCCAGGCTTCGACACTGGCCCGAATTTGGGCGCTTTAGATGCAGGGTCAATCTTCTGTGCCGGCATAGCGGGCACGTTACTGTACTCGTCCTCCCCGTGATCGGATGGCCCTGAATCATCAGCTAGTTCATCATCTCCTTCGGGCTCATAATCAGAGTCCTCAA